TGGGAGGAGGGACACTGAGCTGCGCCCTCACCTGCTACTACCAGCTCCACAGTGTAGCTGGGCTCTGACCAGATGGGCAAGTCTAATTTGGTGCTATATTGGCAGCTGTAGCTCCCTGCGTCAGTTCAGTGGCATTTTTTTGTCTGTCTGTCACACGATAATTTTTGAAGACAACGTTAAACTGATTCCAAAATTTCTCAGCATCGGTGGGAAGAACCTTGTTAGTTTTGGTGACAATTGGAAAACAGCAGCACCAGAAAAGCCTGATTTTCTGCACCACGCCCATTAAATTGGTGCTGTAGGCAGAGGCGCTTTGTGACATCAGAGTTAACTCAGCCAGTCAGTGCTAACTCTCTCCAGGAGATTTGCATAATTCAATCCCATTGGTTAAAATGAGTCAACCTGCGGGTTTCAATGGGGAGATGACCCAGGCAGGTGGCAGGGTGAGGATTTAAGATCAGGGTTAGTGGAGTGAGTGAGTGATGGGCGGGTGCTGAGTTATGGTCGATGTCATAACGCTACTTCTCAGGCTCCTCTGCCTGTAGCGCCACATGGGCCCCGACTGCCGAGGGCAATTGTTACTGGTTCAGGGATGGAAACTGGGCCTACAGAAACAAACAAGTGTCCGACCCTCTAATTAGTCTCTTTTAAGATCGAGTAAATAATTTTAAATGAATTATTGATATGATGAATTTTGCTGCCTTCTCTCCTATAACCGAATATGAGCAGTTTAGGATTCTCTTGAATGTGGAAGTTCTTTAAAATCAGGGTGAATAAAAATGATTTTTTTCAAAAACAAAAAGCCACAAAAGGAATTTAAAAACAAATTCAATTGATTTATTTTCATGTTTGTTTGTTTGTTTAAAAACAAAACTATTGGGGATTAAATTTGAATTTGAAATTATGTTGCTGTAGTTTAGTCTGTGTTTGCTGCCCAGTTTTAATGGACGTCAAACCAGTGAATTCGTGGAAGTCGTTGGCCGAGCACCTGGAACCAGAGTTTGTTGAAAGGGTAAAACCAGCTTTTGACAGCGGTCGCCTCTTCTGCAGGCACAGAAAGAATCTTTTCTTCAGTTCAGTGTATTCAGCTCGTTCAGTTCAATGACACGTTCATTCAAATTTCCGATACTGACGGGGAGTTGAGAAAGCAGGAAAGCTTCTTTTCCTCTTCCAATCTATGAATAAATACTACATGTGGGGGGATCAGATCTACTAGTTCTAATATCTGAGAGATACGATGGGCAAGTCTAATTTGGTGCTATATCGGCAGCTGTAGCTCCCTGCATCACTTCAATGATACGATGACCAGAAACAATCAGTCGATGTCACTAATTGCAGATACCTCCTTACATCAGTTAGGTTCAAATGAAAAATACGTTTT